TGCTTTCCTTTTATTCCAGGGAGTGTTTGCATTTTAATTTAACCCAAAGAAGGAGCTTTGTGGAGAAAAAATAAAATAAGGGTATCCATGGTTGTGTGTTTAGGTGTTGCAAGCCCACATCAGGAATGGAAGATGACTTCAGAAGTGCTCCTGAAGCACATTTGCAGAGGGAAAGAGAAAATTTAATTCCCTGGGTCTGCTTAGGGCTAGAACAAAAAATAAAAACAAATGTTTGTGATCTTTTTTCTTGCATCCGCTGAATTTTGTTGTAATCTTTAATTAAATACAACACATTTACTCGTTGGTGGATTTGTTATTAGGTGTTGAAAATGAAAAGAGAAATAATGTAAACTCTGTCCCCTAAAGGACTCAACAGTGGGATAGGGATGATACGCTATTATAATACATAGAAAGAAATGTTACGTGTCTAGAATGCCAGAAACACAAAAAAGGTAAATCCTAGGCAGAGAGGGGTCCCGAAAAGGGAGATGTACAGGTGTCATTCCTCAGCTGCTTCTCCTCTCTGCCCTGCCAGGCCCTGGTCCTCAGGTACTTCCTGACAGTTCTATCTTCTACCTCACCTTATCAAGGCCAGTAGGTAGAGTGCTGCCTGCATGCTGGGTGGAAGGGAAATGTGAACTCCTGTGCCTGGGTCCAGGTTGGACTCCATCTCAGGGGCAGAATCAGGGAGACTGTGACTCCAGGGGTACAGGTAGGAGCCCGAGGAGCCAAAGTGTAAGGTTAGGTCATCTCTGCTCATAAGTCTTCCAGAAGAAGGTGACCATGGTGAAAAGGAAGCTCTTCCAAGGGCAAGGGTCTGGTGTTTCTGTAATCAGAGATTCTCTTCCATTTCCTTGAAAGTGTAAATACGGTCTAGATACCCTGGACCCAGGTGGTTCACGTTCATTAGGAGACTTCATGAATCTTTATTACTGGACCTTGGGTAGAATTTTCACCATAGTGCTTAGGGTAGTGGTGGAGAAGTGGCAGGATATATTCTTTCTGTATTCATCTTCACAACATTATATGGCAGCAACTAATATTGCCTGTTAAATGGAATTGGCCTGCAAACTGATGTTCAAAAATGTTGTCTTCTTGTTTTAAATCAGTATGTTTTGCCATTCATGAAGTGTATGGTAATCTTTGGAGTGTGTGTTTCTTCTTTTTTTCCTTCCTCTTTCCTGCTCCCTATCCCATAGATTGCCTTATTCATTCTTACTGATATTACTTGTCTTGGTTCATGTTATGGCCTGTAGTGTTTATGTTAGTTGTGACTACTAGGTTCATGTACATGGCTTGTCTTTATTCCCCTTATTGCCTCTCCTCCTCCCACCTCTCGTCCTAGTACCCTTAGACCACTTCCCATTGCAAGAGAACTGTCCTCTTGTCCCTTCTGTCCATCTTAATGTCATTTCCTTGTACTTTGCCTCACTCAAATGAGGAATACCACCTGGTATTTCTTGTCTGGTTTTTTTCACTCAACATTATATTTCCAGGTGTACCTATTTTCCTACAAACATCTCAGATTTGTCACTCTTTATAGCTAAGTAGTATTCCATTATATACGGATACCACATTTTCTTTATCCAGTTGTCTGTTGAGGGGTATGTAGGATGCTTCCAGGATTTGCATATTGCAAATTGTGCTGCCATAAACATTTTAAGTATGTATCACTGTAGTATGATGACGTTAGCTCTGGGGGGATACTATGTGCCGTTGTTTCTGGAGTAAGATGGAACCCAATAAGGAATAGTAAAGGAAAATTTGCAGCTATTTGGGACTGGTGCCTGTGTTCTTAGGCCCGTGTGGGCACAGAGCTCCAGGCAGGACATGCCTTTGTCAAGTGGGAGCCTGAGGTGGCATCCTGCCACCTGTCACCCAGCCACCAATGACTGCAGGGCGAGACTGTGCTGTGTCCAGGGTCTTTGAGCACTGTGAAGGAGCCCTGGTTTCCCAGGGACTCAAGTAGGACCCCGGGCTGCAGCAGGGCAGTGAACCCTGGATGGAGGCTCAGGGGGCCCAAGGGCCGAGTGCAGGCTGACACGAGACCAGTGCTTCTGCTGGGCGCGGGTGAGTGCCACGTTTCCTGGAGTGAACTCTAGGCTCCAGTGGTAACTCAGGTGTGCTCAGGGCCCAGTACCAGGGGCTCCTGGCACAGGCAGCAGTGCTTGTTAATCTGCTCATGTCTGAGAATGAGTGGGTGGTCGGAGAGGAGAACAGCTCCCCAGCCATGCCCCTGGTGTGTGCGGTATCCTTTCTGGAGGGGGACAGAGAGACGAGGGGCTGCAGGCTAAGCTCGGTCCTTTTCAGCTTTACTCTGCCCTGCTACTTGGATTCCCAGCTGTCTGGGAATTTGGAAAGGCAGTTCCTGAGTTGGGAGGGGCTGCAGTCTGTGTGTACCCCTAAAGTGCTTCACCTTTTCTAAACTCCTTTGCATATGTTCCACTGGTTCTACAGGTCTCTTCTTTCCTGTCAATTTTTTTTTTTTAATACTGGGTGTATATCTCTTCTTGCAGTTTCCTGTGTTTTCTAGGTGATTTTTTTTTTTTTTTTGAGTCTCTGACATTTTATACCAAAGTGGGAAACTAGTATACTTGGTTTAGTACCTAGAAGCCTTGGAATGTTAAAAAAAGTTCTAAATAAGAATAAATGTTTGGATTCAGCAATGTAAATAAGAAAGGTCAGGAAAGACAGTAGATCAAAAAAAAAAAAATACCTTTGTGACCATAACCACAATTTCTAGACTGAAAAGGAAGGACAGACATGTCTTAGAGGGCTAGTATGTGTCATACAGTAGGTACTTACTAAATGTTTTGGATGAATCTGTTGTTTGAGCTGGACATGTCCAAATAGATTTGCAGGATGTGTTAATCTATCGGGTGGGCAGAACCGAGGAACAAGAGCTCCAGGTTGTTGGTGTATGACATGAATGGAGATAAAAATGACAAGCCTAGCCAAAATGGCCCATGAAGTCGTATAAAATTTCTTTTATCATAGTTTATAATGAGAAAGTGAATCTGATGAGACGGAATTGGATGAAGACAGTATCCAAAGCCCTGGACACATTGCTTGAAGTCTGCTTTTCCTAATATAAAATTAAATGAAACAGTGTATGTAATTTGCCTAATAATATCAGCTTCTTACTCCCAAAGACATGACGTTTATTTAAAAATCCCGATGCGCATATTCGTGTCTGGAGACTGTAATCCTGTAGAGGCAAGATGGACGAGCAGGGCTAACCCTGTAGAGGCAAGGTGGACGAGCAGGGCTGGGGGAGGTTTTTTCCACCCTTGCCCTGTGTAGGAGAGGGCAGCAGGGGCTGGAGGGACTGAGAGGACTGCAGAAGGCGCAGAGCTGCTTCTTGGGGGGTAAGGGCTGGGTGGAAAGATGGGCAGCCCCAGAGGCTGTTCCTTGGGAGAGGAGTGGCTTCTGAGGTCTTGAGCAAGCTTTATCTAGTGTGCGCGCGCGGGCATGTGAATTGGTGCACGTGTGCACATGAGCACACTTGGGGGTGGACATTGGAGAGCATGCCTGCTGTGTGATTCTCAAACTGAGGTGGCTCTCTGGGTCACCTGCTCACTTCATGCCCGCGATTGCCGCCTGCTCTAACACTCGATCCAGAGGGGAGACAGGTGCGAAGCAAGCATGCTCTGCCTCTGGGAGGATGCTGGCTTTCTTTCTCTAGATTGGGCACTTTACTTGCTCTCTACTTCAGCGTCTTCCTGGAAGGGTGAATGTGCCAGCCTGTCAACCTCCTCACACCTGTGTTCATAAAGCCCGAGGTTTGATTTTGTTTGGCCAACCTGTCTTCTTTGGGATAGCCTTCGCTTTCCCTTCCAAAGAGTGAAGACTGCCCAAAGCTCAGTGCCAGCCGCCTTGCCTGCCCATGGCTGCTGGGGCGCTGCTGACGAGCCAGGAGCCTTGTACCTGGTTGATCAGCCAGAGCCCAAGAGTAATATTGAAACTTTGTGCATTTTATTCTGATCGCTACCGTGCTTATCTTTCTCCCAGATAATCTCTAAAACTGAACTCTATTGCTGAGTTTTACTCGAAATTCAGAAAGTTTTATTATTTACTTTATTAGTATTGTGTTAAGAGAATACAGGAGAATAATGAAATTAAAGGACTGGCCAGATAGCTCAGTGGATTAAAGTGCTCGTAGGCAGGCAGGGGCCAGGGGTTCAATCCCTGGGCCTGCGGGTGCACTGAGAGGCAATTGAGACTGGGTGTGGGGGCACATGCCTGGGATGCCAGCTCTTGGGAGGCTGTAAAAAGGCGGATCACTACGAGTCCGATCTAGTAGTGAGATCCTGAACACCCTGTGGACCCTTCCCTAAAATACAAAAAAAAAAAAAAAAAAAAAAAAAAAAAAAAAAAAAAAAAAAAAAAAAAAAAAAAAAAAAAAAAAAAAATAAAATAAAATAAAAACAGTTAAAAATCTGGGGCTTGTACTTACTCTGCCATTATGGAGCTAAATTACTGATAGTTTGTATCAAAATTAGTGACTAAACATTTACTGATTGTTCAAAAACTATTAACTTTTTGAGCTTTTTATGAATGATGTAAAAGTGTGTCAAAAGATCAGTTAAACTGTTTGGCATGATATTTGCTGATTAGGACACTACAAAAAGAGACACTCCTTTGAGGATTAAAAAAAGTAACCTACCCTCTCTCATGCATAGACTAGTTTTCCTGTGAGAGTATGTAGTTAATGAAAAATTTATATATAACTTTGTAGAAGTGGACGTTTTGAAGTTTTGAAGCTAGGTAGCATGTAACTGCCTCTGATCTCTAGGCTGCTGTCTTGCTGTGGTGTTCCTTTGCTTCTCGCGCTAATAAAACATTAACACGGCGAGCTAATCTTGTCAGAAGCAAGTGGCACGAGCAAGCCTGCCCTTCTCCTCGGTTGGTAACACGCCGTTTAACCAAGTGGAAGTGTCTCAGCAGTGCTGCATTTCCCCTTTTCACTTCTACCCTTGCTTTCCGGTTGCCCATTCTAGCAGTACAAGACCAAGTCCAGCTACAAGGTTTTTGCAGCAATCCCTACAAACACATTGCTTTTGGAACAGAAGGTTAGTGTCGGCTCAGCAGCCAAGTGAATTTTATGTTTCTAATACCTGTTACGTTACGTTTTCTAAAATTTTGTTTGGGAAGATTTATTTTTAAAGTTCTACGTTTACTGAAATAAAAATGTTTGGATGATTTAATGCAAGTATCTTGATTAATGTAATTGGAGACATGATTGATCTATCAGTAGAGATCAGATCTAAATTTAGAGATGTCTGGCCTAGTGCAGGAAGCTTGATTTTGACTTGGGTAGATGCTGTACCTGCCTTGTGGAATTCTTAATATATGCTGTACTCAAGAACTTTCACCTCTGTGCGTATTGACCAAGAGTTATGGAAAAGTGGGGCCACGTGGGCAGTTGCCCTCTTGGTCAGGACTTGAAGATTAACAGTGGACTCCACCACAACCACATGCAGGTACTCAGATCCGGGTGGAAAATCCATGCCCTCAGGCCACAGATCCTCGCATAAGGTCAAGTGTGGGCCATTCTTGCCACCCACGTGATGAGGAGGTCAGGCGGAGAGCACGTCTGGGGAGCAGCTACTCTCACGGGCTCCTGGTGCTCCTGTCTTAGGAACCACTGATCATAAAATTACAGGATGTTACTTCAGGGGCAGATTAAATGAGAGCCTCTTGTCTAATAAGCACATTCCATACGCTCACATGAACGCCAAATGGAAGGTGCGTATCAAAATGGAAGTGAAATTAGCGAACAAGCCTGTGACGTGACGTATGTTATTTTTATGTTGCACGTATTACTGTTATGCTGCTTTATCTCAGCTAGTTATGTTTTAGTGCATTAAATCCACTTTACCTTGTTACTTACGGTGTTTCAAATACTGTTGCTTTATGTGAGCTCTTGTTCAAAAAGCAGGAGCTGTCAGTGCTAAGTAGCATCTAGGTTGATAGTAGATAAGCCATGGTTCTCGCATACTCTGTGACCCTGGCAGTGTGGTCTGAAAGCTGTTTCTGTATCTAAACACCTTCATCTACAGGCCCCTGGGCCTCAGGGGTTCCTGCAGGTAGGCCCTGGATTCTGTCCTGGATTTACCTTTGGTAGCATGTCACAAGATGAGGGGGGGCTAACACATCAGGAGGTTGTGACGAGTGGCGCTCTCCCGGCGTGCCTGGCCTCAGCTGGACATCAGGGGGAGTCTGCATGGCACTGCTCCTACAGCAGAGACCATCCTGCTCAGGCGGCGTCCCCGGGCCTGGTCACAGTGTCCCCTGCGCAGGCACAGGGGATCCGCCCAGCAGCGAGGCCGAGCCAAGATGGGAGCCTGCAGTGTTGCAGCAGCATCTTCCTCGTGTGGCTCCCTGGAGCAGCACCATGCCGCAGGGTTAATTTCCTGTTTGGAAAATCAGTTCTCCCTGAGTCTTCAAGGACATGGTCTGGAATCAGGATTGCTTCTAAAATCGCTGTTGATGCTCTGTCTTCTCCTCCAGTGAACTGGGTCTTAGAGGCCATAGTCTGCAGCTCCATAAACATAGAGCTATTGGTGTAATTTCCAATTTCATTACAATCCCACTTCATAAATGTGTATGCTAATATTGATGTATATTCAAGCTGTGTGAGACAGGCTTTCTGTTTTCAATTTAAATAAAGTAGTTCTCAGAAAGATTATTTTTATTTTAATACATCTAAATATAAATATGATTTATTGAAAATGCCACCATGGTAAGGGGCAGTGGAATACTGCAGAAACACTCTGAAGCATTATCTTTTGGGCGAGGTAAGTTGTTGCAGGACTGTGTTTGAATTGCTCACAGGTAACAAGATGGAATGGGAATGGTTTTTCTTCTTCAGATCCTTTGTATAGTTTTACATGTCTTTACAAAGCTTTTGCATGGTTTGTGTCTCACAGTCAGAAATTTTACTTTTTAAAACTTTCTAAATAACATAGACCTGGAGATACTGAGTTTACTTTCATTTTCAATATTTATTAATGGTACTGTGCTACTCCTTTGAGTGATGTTTTGAAAATGAATCTGCAAATTTAGTACCTTTATCTGTTTTTGTAGTAGAATTTATTCTGTCACTGAAACCATAGGGATTTTTTAATTGAGTGGGAAAATTAAGAGTATACTTTTCAGAAATTAATCTATTTTTTTGCGAATCAACATTTTGGAAAGTTTCACTCTCAGATGCTTTTCTGAGATTCCTTTAACAACATCCAGAACATGACTGTGGGGCAGGATGGTATCGGAGCCTTATGGCAGTACTTGGGGTTCATGCAGCAGGATGCCTTGAAGATAACTCACGGACATGACTCACACCTTAAATATTTAAACAGTTGATTCTCCAGCCAGATTATAACTGTACTGGATATTTTACAGCACATTTTGTTCCACAGTATATTGACAATTAACAAGAAACTGGAATTCTTAAAAAGAAGCAAGATTTTAAAAGCAAGATTTTCCAGATGTTGAGATACAGGTAGAACATGCAGTGAGACAGTAGGCTGTCATTGCATTACTGGGTTGGTTTCAGCTTTCATCACTCCTAGATGAAACTCATTATTTTCAGAGAATGCATCTGGTTGGCAGGGCCAGGGTCTTCTGCTCTGTAATTCACTGTCTGCTTCCAAACTTAAATTTGTAGCTTATTCCATCTTAGTAGTCTGTCATTTGCCGCTACGAGCATATATCGAGGAAGCATTTGCTGTACTTGTCAGAGGTCTTAACCAGGCTAGACAGCGAGAGGGAAATGCGAGGCTGCACATTTCACCGTGCTTACGTTTGGGACTTCAGCTTCGGCTCTTGCCAGTCGTGGTCCTCTCGCGCGGTGCTGTGAGGATTGAGCCACGTGTGACTGTAATGAGATCAGCGTAGATCCGTGACGCTCCACAGGCTCCATATGGTGGAGCCAACAGTACACTGAGTCGTGTATACACAGTAACGCTGACGCAGGCATTAATTTTAGTTTTAATGCTGGCGCTATTGTCTATTTCAGAGAATATTGATGTTCTCTCTTTTATCGATTAGTTTTTGTTCTCATCAGAGCCTGACAGCAATAGGCAAGAAGTCAAAATTAAACAGAGGGTGCATATTAATAATGCAAGTCAATAGCTTCCTTTTCTTTCTTTTTTTTTTTTGTGGCCAGCTCAGCCCACCCTGGGAGCGGGGCTGGCATGGTATATGGTGCCGGGATTGAACCACGGTCCCGGTGCTTGCCTAAACTTGCATAAGCAGGCACTTTAGACTGCTGCGCTATCTCGCTGGCCCAATAGTTTGCTATTTTTATAGTGTGATTGTTTTAAGGTGAGGATGAAAGGAAGGATACTTACATCATGCACTTAAGTAACATGTGTTTTTATTGCCTTACACGTGATTAATATTTTTCCATAAAAGAATCATTTTTTCCCCCTTGAAAGTAACTCCAATTTTCTATTCATTTCTTTGTTTTGTTTTTGTGGTACCAGGGATTGAGCTCAGGACCTTGCGCTTGCCAGACAAGTGCTTATTCTACTAAGCTGTCTCCCCAACCCTCTATTCATTTCTTTATATGTATTGATCCAGATAAAATCTAGCCTAGGGTGAGGTGCAATTTTCCTCAGTAAATTGCATTTTTACATGCTATTTCAAAATTAATTTAATTTATATGCATATGTATAACAACAGTTCTAGAGCAGCATGATTTTATACATATAGCATAAATGTGATGATTAATTATGTAAGTGAAAGTTAAGGAACGACCCCTACATTAGGAAGGAAGGTAAACGATAGCTATTTTGAAGGTGTAGTAAAAGCTGAGGTGTTAAACTAGAAAACAAAGATTTGATATATCTTGTCAGTTGTCAAATCACTTTATTCCAAGTTGTCTGTTTAATTTTTTAAAGTATGAGTTGCTAAACTCCAATCTGATTAAACATATGGCCTTGGGTAAGACTATTTTAAGATCTCTGCATATCTCAAAAATTTATATAACACACGCATGCTCTCCCCGAGTGGGACAGCGCTTAATTTAGATTAGTACAAATGGCAAACAGATGTGGGCTCCATGTTTTCTGGCCATGAAAACATGTCCAGGACCCAAATCCAGACAAGCCGGTCACCCCCTGGGGCCAAGTGCAGCCCTCTTGAACACTGCACTCCTCTGCTTTTCCACATGCAGACTTACTGATCCTTTTCTCTACCATGAACCATTCAGGAAGTACAGTGGCTTTAAATTAAGTGTTCATTAGATGAATCAGTTTAGTCTGGGGCTGAGTGGTATTTAGATTTCCAATTTCATCCATCAGCATCTAAAAGCAAGTTTTTACTCACAGAACTATCAAAATAAAATAGCCCTTGAAGTAATAAATAACAAGGATTATTTTAGGTGGAATAAGCCTCATCACCTCTACTTCTGCTGAGAAACGATCACAGGCCTCTGCTGGAGGGCAGTCCGACGGTCTCAGGCATGGGCCCGTGTGTAAATGCCAGCCCCCGCCTCGATCGATGGGCGACCCCACAGCTGTGATGCGCATGCCCTCGTGCAGTGGCCACGGCGCTCTGCAGCAGGCTGTGCGGACTTCTCCTCCCAGCGATGGCGGAATGCTGAGCCCTGGGACAGATGTGCTGGCTCCTCTGCACGGCACTGTTTAATCCTTGTTGAAGTGTGTGTGTGTGTGTGTGTGTGTGTGTGTGTGTTTTCCGGAACTGGGGGGTTGAACTCAGGCCCTTGCGCTTGCCAGGCAAGTGCTTATTCTATTGAGCCATCTCCCCGGCCCTGAAGTGTGTTTTAAGTCCTCTTTGCATTAAACTATTGTTAGGAGCAACAATGAAAGGGAACTGGGAGTAGTTTTGCTGTGAGAGGACTTGAAGGAGCAGGGAATTAAAATCAGAGCTACTGGAAGAGCTGCCGCCGGGACGCAAGGAACACCTTCATCACAAGAAGAAAATATGCAGGTTCACCTGTGTTCAACCTTGATGGAATAGGGTTTAAACCAGGTAGAATAGCAAAAGAAAAAAAAATCCTTGTACCCCAAGAACAGGCATTTAATCGTCCAAAACTTTTGGAACT